GAACCCGAGTGGAACTTCGGGTTTGAGTACGACAACAACGGAAGGGTTGACATCCTCAGGTCACAATTCTTCGACGTCGGCTTTGACTTCGACGACACCGTCGAAGAATACTTAGATCGAATCCTACCAACGCTAGTGGATTCCATCGACGAACACTTCTCCGTCTACACGTGGATCATCAAAGGTCGATCTACCGTGCCCCCTCCATCTCCGAGATCCTTCTCCACGGCGACGTTCCTTGGCTCCTCCCTCCTCGTGGCAACCTCAATACTAGCTTGGACGATCTTCCGCCGCTCAACCTAGTCTTCGTAGGAAAGAGAGAAAAAGGTCTCAAGGTGTGAACAACTCTTTATTACTTGTGAGATTCAAGTTACTAGTTTTTAACGTTATTATTTTCCTTGTATTAGATTAAATCGTTCGGCTATCTTCTTTTATTGTAATTCTTTTGCCTAAGCAAAGCGGAACTCTACGAGCTCTTGTAACCGATTTGAATTTGAAGTATGAAATTATAAATGGTTAAGCTTTAATTAATTTTCTTTCCTTAACTCATGTGTAACTCAAACCATGCATCACATCACACACTGATTAAAAAAACACACAATAAATACTAAAATTTTTATTTGTAAAATCTAAAAAAAAAAGAAATAATCAGCAAGCCTAACCTAGATGAAATGATCTACTATGTGGATAGGTTACAAATGGTATGCTCTTCCTTTCAATCGGAAAAGATGGATAACAAAGTGATAAATTCAGAGATATGGAGAGGGAAAAAGGCTTAATTTTATTGTACAAACTTGTCTATATTTATAGATCTATTCAATATATCTTAATAAAGAAATAAATAATTACAGAATCATGCATAATTTCTCTAATATAATCCATTCTAATCAGCCACCTAAATATAGAAGGAGATCAGCATGATCCAGGTGAGCCTCCCACGGATTCTCATCCTAGTCGTGAGATCAAAATGCAAAGGAACGGATTTAATTTAATAGGTGAGGCTATGCGGATTCCCATCCTAGCCGTGGGATCAAAATGCCAAGAGATGGATGGGATTTAAAACTCCCCCTCAAGCTGTGGAATACAAATCCGTCATTCCCAGTTTGGTAATCAATCTAAAAAATGTAGAGTTATCGAGTCCCTTAGTAAGAATATATGCAAGTTGATTTTTTGATGAGATATGATCGATACATATAAGACCACTATCTAATTTTTCCTTTATGAAATGTTTGTCCACTTCTATGTGTTGGTCCTATCATGCTAAACCAGATTGTGAGCTATGTTGATTGCCGATTTATTGTCAAATGTAGCTTTATGGGTCCTTCCCGCTTGATCCTTAGGTCTTCTAGAATTATCTTGATCTCACATAATCCTAAGGCATAGCTTTGTATTCTGCTTCTAAACTAGATCTTGCCACCACATTCTATATCTTGCTTCTCTATGTAACAATATTTCCTCCAAGGAATGTGCAGTATCCTGAGGTAGATTATCTATCTACTGGCCATCCTGTATAATCTGCATCAGTATATGTCTTTGGGGTTATTCCACAATCTCTTCTGAAGAGAATCACTTTACTTGAATTCCCTTTAAGATAGTGTAGTATTATGTCTACAGCTTGCATGTGAGTCTGCTTTGGATTTTGCATGAACTGGCTGACCATGCTTACAACAAATACTATATCTAATATGGTGTGGAAAAGGTAAATCAATTTTCCCACAAGTTTCCAGTAGCTCCTTCATCTACATTTGAATCTTCTTTAGCTTCCCCCAATTTGAGATTTGATTCTGTTGGTGTTAGTGCCGCTTTACAAGCTAATTTACCTATTTCTTTAAGAAGATCACTAAAATATTTTTGTTGTGAAATGAAGATTCCTTTGCTGGAGTGGGACACTTCAATTCCAAAAAATATATTCTAATCTATTAAGATCTTTGATCTCAAGTTGTATGATCTCCTTGGCTCTGTTGATAACCATTAAGTAGCATGACTTTTGATAATCTTCCAAACCAAGCTCTAGGTGATGCTTGAGCCCATAGGGCCTATTTTAATCAACACACTTTGTTACCCTCAGATTTCACCTTGAATCCTGGTGGAATCTTCATAAATATTTCTTTCTCCAAGTCCTCGTGTAGGAATGTATTTTTGACATCCATCTGTTCCAAATGCCAGTTATAATTAGCTGCTGGTGAGAGCAGGATTCTCACGGCGTTCATCTTGGCCACAAGTGAAAAAATTTTGTGGTAGTCAATGTCATATGTATGAGTGTACCCATTCGTCACTAGTCTTGCCTTATATCTTTCCAGTTTATCATCAACTTTGTATTTCATAGAGAACACCCTTTGCAGCGGATTGGTTTTTTCTCTACTAGTAAGTCGGTGATCTCCCATGTATTGTTCCTTTTTAGGGATTGCATTTCATTTTTTATGGCACATTTTTAAATTTTCATCAGATAAGGCTTCAAAAATATCATCAGGAATATGAATATCATTTAGTGTAATAAGAAAATTTTTGTGTGAAGGTGATAAGTTATGAAAGGATAAAAAGTTAGTTATGGGGTACAAGGAAGGTTTTTTTGGTGAACTTATATTTACCTTGATTTCAGGAGACGGTTAAGATTCTTTGATATGTACTGAAGCATAATTTGAATTTGTATGCCTGGAATACATCTTCTCAAACCTCTTATTATCCATAATAGCTTTGTCCCCAATTTCCCTATCTTTGATTCAGGTTTAGGTGGATTAATTTGAGGTGAAGCTAAAAGGTCAAGAGGGGCACGCTCACTTTCCTCATCTTCCTCAGTTTCAATCTCCCCTCTTGAAGATGAGGTTTGGTGAAATAAGATTTTTGTTCATCAAAAGTAAAGTCACCAGATACAAGGGTTTTCTTGGTGGATGGATGATAACACTTATAATCTTTTTTGGGTGAATGAATATCCAACAAAGATACATTTGAGTGCTATTGAATCTAATTTTTTTCTATTTTGATTGTGAATGCGAACATATGCAGTGCACCCAAAGATTCTAAGTGTGAATTTGTTATGGGTTCAAAATTCAAAATAAAAAAAGGATAGAATATCCATTGACATTTTTAATCCCAAAGTTGTTAACCGTAGTCAGTTTATACTTTATAAGATATGTGGCGATTAGAAGGGATTCCCCCCAGGAGTATTTGGGTACATTGTGGTGGAATAGAAGTGCACGTGTAGAGGCAAGAAGGTGGACTTTTTTTTTTTGCAACTTTGTTTTGTTGTGCGGTATGAATGCAGGAAAACTCATGAATGATACCTTCCCTTTGAAAGTAGAAGGATAGAGTTCAGTTAAAGTAATATTTGGCATTGTTGTAATGAAATTTTCTTATTTTTATCTCGAATTGATTTAGAATCATGGTGTGAAAAATGTGCTTACATCAAAATTTTATCACTATCATAACATATATATATATATATATAGAGAGAGAGAGAGAGAGAGAGAGAGAGAGAGAGAGAGAGATCTTGCTTGCGACTTGCGTCATGGACCGCCCAATAAGAGACAAAGAAGCTTAATGCGAGATAATCTTCCGTCGGCTTAAAAAGAAACTTCCATGACCATGAATATCTCATATGAGAAGAAGAAGAAGAAGAAGAAGAACGGATTGATATCATTACAAAAGCCGCTTCGTTTTGTTTGCCTCCCCCTAGTCGTTTAGTAATGGAAGGGAAAACTATTATTTCGAAAGAAGGAAAGATGATCAAACTTACACTTGCAATTAAAATGCATACAGAAAGATAAACACAAAACAAAATCCTACCTCCCAAAACACAAATTTCGAAACGAAAACCTTTCATGCGCAACTCAAGAAGATCAATTACAAACGGTGTAGTTAAAACCCATAAAGAAGAAACAAATTTATCATAAAACCCTACTATAAGTTCATTCCCAAGGAATGCCCACCTTGACCAAGATTTCTTTGAACAGTTCCAACTACAAGAAGAGTGATTCCACAAAGGTGCAGTTAAAATCCATAACAAAACTTTACTTCCTATTGTGTTCATAAGAAAGCCCTATTGTCCAAACTATTTAAATGGATTTCGACGGTTCGAAATTCAACGAGACATAAACCACAAAGAACCAAAGAAATTCCAAACACTTGGAAAATGGAAAAGAACCTAGAACCAAAAATGCAATCTTACCGGCTCAAATAGAAGATAAACTGTAATTCAAAAGCCCCGATTTCAATTTTTATCTTTCTGGCGGATTATCGATGTACTTGCGGCACTGTCCGTTGCAATAGGCAAAATGGCCGATGAACAGATGAACTCTCAAAGAACTTCCGAAGGGCAAAATACAACAACAGTAGGCAAGCTAACTGTATGCACTGTAAATTATTTAGTTATATATTACACTAATAAAAATAAAATTACATTATATTTTTAAAAAAAAATTATTATAATTCAAATTTTATATTATATTCTTAAGAAAATTATTCCAGCATTATTAGTTAAATATTTATTTTATGAAATAAAAATTATTATTTTATTGTAATATAGTGGTGAGTATTATTGCCTTTCT